TTTCAGTTTATGGACAGGGGAGGGGGAGGTATTCTGTGTCAGCACCAGATGTTCTTTTGTTCTTTTTTTTCCCCAAGGACAGGGGATAATTTCCTGACATTCCCGGCACCTCCTTTCCGGGCAATCTCATGCTGCTTATCTATGGCCAGAGGTCAGCTGGTTCCCATAGAAATTTTTACCCTTACAAGTTAAAGGCATCATGTTAGATTGACATACACATACCCATGTTAATAGCAGCACAATTCATAACTAAATTGTTAAAGTGGCCTATATGTGCATCAACAGATAAACTGATAAAGCAAATGTGGTACTTATACACAGTGGAGTAGTACTCTGTTTTAAAAGTAAAGTAGTTATTTGTAGGAACATGGCCTGCAAGGTCTGTCACAGGGATAGAAGACAGGACTCCATGCTGCTGCAAGTCTGTGTGCCATTTGTGCAAAGTCTGACTTTGTACGGCCCCAGAAAAGGACTTGGGTCAAAAGACCTTCAACACAGCCCTGTATTGGATATAATGTTTATGCTGTCACTGAAGCAGATCCAGAGATGGATTCCACCTGTTGAACGGCTTTATGTATGGCCAGCAACTGCTGCTTTAGTGCCATACGAGCTATAGCCACCGCTTCTTTAGACCTCATCACTGTATCCACTCAATATCTACCAAGAAAATCATGATCTGTAACTTACATCATTAAATAAAAATTTAGAAATGTTAAAGTAAAATGGTATTTTATAGAAAGAAGATGTCAGCAGGAAAAATAGAAGAGAAGTGAATAGAACAGAATAGAATAGAAGAGAAGAGAATAGAATAGAAGAAAATAGAATTCTGTAAACCAATCTGCATCTCCCATATTTCACAAGGAACCCCCACTAAGAAGGTCAAACACATTCCTATGCTTAGATACCACTCTCAACAGGCAAATGCAGGCCAAAGTGGCTCCTTCCCAGTAGGAGAGGGAGCTGAACAGCCAGGAAATAAGAAGAAATGCAGGAGAGGCTTCTGTGAAAAATGAAATTGTTGGTGGGAATGTGAACTACTATAACCACTTCCATAGGGAAGAACCTTCCAGGTCAGCCCCAGATTGCAGAGGAGAGGCTGTTTCATGATGGGAGGAGCAGAAGGAAGGCTCTGTGGAGGTCCCAGATTGATTTCTCCATGTCTACGGCCAAAGCCTGTGGTAATAGGGACTTACTGTCTTTTTCTGCAGTAGAACCACTGTGGATTCTGGTCTTGGTTCTTTATTCAGAGTAACCCATTACAGGACCATGGAATAATATACAGACATTCCTAGCTGAATGACCTACCTGGTTAACAATGTTTCTGACTTAGGACAGAAGAGTACTGTTTGGACTTGCAACCTGCCGCTTGAATTTGCGACCCACATTCGGATTTACAACACAGGGATGTGAGCAGCAGTGTGGCTTTATGGTGACTTCTTCTAGAGTACAGTACAGTTCCGTGATTTTTGCTGATTGTACTGCACAAAAAAATAGTTTCACAAGGCAGCTGCGCCAACCAGGATGTCGTTTTCAAGCTTAAAAGCCCAAGCTTTCTTCGGGTCGGCGCTGCTCAGCTTCTCCCTGCGTGGAGAACAGACTGACAGCCGCCAGCCCGGCTAATAACTGCTCTCAAATTCCAATTTGGATTCTGGTCTCGGTTCTTTATTCATAGTAACCCATTACATACACAACCTCAAGGGAAAACGTTCTATGGACAAGCACCTGACTTTTCTTCCCTCTTCCCTGTTTTCTTCTACTCTTCCGCTCCTCCTATGGAAAATAAAGCCTCCTCGCTAACCCCCGAGACACTTGAAGCTTGCAGTACTCCTTTCAAATACAGTAAACTTACGAACTACCACAAAAGGCATTTGGTTTTTGAAAATACTGTTTAGAAACAGTTCGTGAAAAACAATTACGTCAAAGTGAGTAACACGCCCTCTTCCATTCAAACCCCTCTCACAGGTACACAGGGTTCCCTCTTTCGGTGAGCTTCACAACGTGGAGGAGCACCTGGAAATTCAGGATTTTTTGGCCATCTGTCAGACGCACTGTGACAGCGAGGAAATGAGCTGATGCTTTTCCTGAATCTCAAACACGCAGGAAAATAGGGCGTAGTGAGGAGAGCAAGAAGCAGGGACCTCAAGTAGTAGAGCTCCTTCCCACGCGAACCCGCAAGGAGGCTCCCGACCGAGCTCAAGGAGCCGCACAGAACCGGCAGGACCCGGGTCTCCCTGTGCACCCCACGGCCGGAGGAGACCCAGGGCGCCGAGCCTGGAGCAGCACAGGACGCTAAACACCCCCTCGTCCCCGACCCCAGACTCCCCACTTACCATTCCCAGGTTCCGGGGTGTCCCGGTGTCCTCGCTAAGGGTTCTGCAGCCCTCAGAGTTCCCACAGGGAGCGGGGACGAGCCACCTGCGACTCTCAGCTCCAACCGCTAGTCTCAAATACAGTGCACCAGAAAAAAAGTTTCGGGAGGACCTGAGCGACCCTGAAAAGAACAGTGCTCCTCATTGGGCCGCTCACCTCGCCATACACTGAGATCTGATTGGCTAGTGATTCAGGACCCAGCCCTCGGAGTCCGGATTGACGGGAGAAGCCATTGCCCACTTTCTCACTGGGGGACTGAAGGGGATTCCAACCTAGGATTCCTGCCCAGTACAGCAAAGGTTGGGAATGGCAGGGTACTAATTTTTATGGTTTTTACACTTGATCTTAGCCAAAAGGCCAAGAAGCAATTTTATTTTTTTTAAAATTTCGTATTTTAAGAGTTATAGACAAACCCCTTCTGATTTATTTACTGATTAAACCCTTTCGTCTTCTCAAAACAGTAATATCACGCACAAGACAAAATAGTGATAAACTTAACAATTTCAAACAAAGATTAGCTGGGAATTAAAATAGATAACACATATTAGCTTTATGAAATGCATGTAACAATGATTGTTAGTTTGAATACAGTTTTTTCTTTCCTTTGATTTTTAAATTTTTAATTTTAATGTAATACAAATAGATATTAATAAAAAAAGATGAAAAGCACTATTTACAAAAGTAAAATTACTTTATAACAAAATGGTTAAAGAAAACCAATATGTAATATACTCTATTATGACTTTAAAAGTATGACAAAAAGTGTTTTAGTACATTTCATAGACAAAAAGACTTACAACAAAGAAACAAAACTGCAAAACTTTCTTTTCAATGAACAGAAAGAAACTAGTCAGGTAAATGAAACAAATTAGCACAGATCTTAAAATATTTGTGGGCTAGAATAATTTGGGGAATTATTTGAACTTCTACCTACTTCCTGTTTTTCTACTATTTCTTGAGTTTCTTATATAACAAAAACCATGTAATAGTTAAACTTGTGTGTCTAATTTAAATCATTTAACATTATGTTCTCAAACTGTATCCATCTACTTACAAATACCTAAGTCTATCGTTCCTTACAGCTGAGTAAAACTCCACTGTATGTAAATACTAGATTTTCTTTATCCATTCAACTGTTGATGGACATATACCCTTTCCAAGACCTACCTTTGAGAAATTGAACTGCATTAAACATGAATATGGGTATATTCCCGTAATATGATGACTGTACTTAGGATGATACCTAGAAGGGAGATAGATGGGGCTAATGGAATTTATATTTTTAGCTTTTTGAGGATCTCCACACCCATTTCTGTAATGGATGTACTAGTTTACATTCCCCCCAACAATATAGAAGAGTTCCTTTTCCCCCACAACCTTGCCATTTGTTATTATTTGATTTTTTGATAATAGCTATTCTTTTTTTTTTTTTTGTACTGAAAATCAGACTCAGGACTTTGCACTTGCCAGGCAGGCACCATTCCCCTGAGCTATACCCCTGCCCTTGATGATAGCTATTCTTTCTATAGGTTGTCTTTTCAAACTGTTGGTTGTTTTCTTTTCTATGGAGGACCTTTTTGATTTGATATTGCCTCATCTGTTGATTCTTGATATTATTTTATCAAGGGGGTTGACTGTGTGTGACAAGGGGGTTGCCTGTGTGTCAGGTTTTAAGAGTTGTACCCATTTTATCTTCCAGAAGGTTTTTTTCTGTTTTCACATTTAGTTTTTTTTTGTTTTTTTTGGTGATAGGGTCTTACTGTGTAGTTCAGACTGGTCTTGAACTCACTGTGTAGCTCAGGCTGGCCTCGAATTTGTGATGATATCCTGCCTCAGCCTCTTGAGTGCTGTGATTACAGATGTGAGCCACCATGCCTGGTATAAATCCCTTTTATAATTATACATATACTTTATATTGAATATATTCCTCTAAGGAACCCTACCTGATAACAGTAATCCTCCCAAAGAAGTGAAGAACTATCAATAGTAATTGTCTCTGGAATGAACAGTTTACTATCTCTTGTACTTTTCTTCTACATGAAATAGAATATTCATGAAACAATGAACACAGTGTTTGATTCATTAAAAAGTACGAGTCACAGCATTTATTATCATTATGTTTTTGCTGGGGGCTGATCAGACCCTCGGTTACTTGTTTGGGGGGAACTGGGAGGAATAAAGAAAGACAGAGAGAATTTTGCAGGCTTAAGAGGTCAGTGCCTCAGGCTGGGCAAAGTAAAGACCTCTTCGGTTAGCCTACTTTTTTAAAAACAGGGTTTAGGCAGTGGTGGGGGGTGGGGTGGGGAGTGATGATTTCTGAAAACAACTGTAGTGGTCAAAGCAAGCTAGTAAAAGAAGAACAAAACATACCAAAGAGTAAGGAACAGGTTAATAGAGAACTTGTTTTTCCTCCCAAGCAAGACTTTTGCATCTATTATATTGTTTTAAGGAGTCACAGCATCCTCAACAGATGTCTTGCCCTGTGAGCCTCACGGTCCCGTATATCTTCCCACCATGATCCAGGGCAAGTGGAGCTTCTGAATACCTCTGGCCCACAGGGAAAAACACCCATCTGTTTCAGACACCTGAGTCCCCCCAATTACACATTCTGATCCCTGACATGTTATTTTTTTCTTTTTTTTTTTTTTTT